CGAGACCAGAGAGAGAGCCGAGAGTTGTGTGTGTGTGTGTGTGTGTGTGTGGAATCCTTATCGTGACGGAGGCAACTGTACTCCGTCCCGGGGCCAGAGAGTCATTTGACAAATGCCAATTGACAGGAATCGAATCGAAGACAGGGAGACTGCAAAACAGCCAACGAAACAGAGCTCTGAGTTGGTGAAAAAATTCATTTCTGATTGCCAAATGAACGAATGACGAATGACAGAAGCCCAGGAGTTTTTTTTTAGGGGGGGATAAATAATGGCAGAGTGGCCAAAGGAGGAGCCGCAGAGGGAGCTCGTCAATCGGAGTTCGTCAATGAGTGATAAATGCCCTTTTAAGTCTCGGTCGGGAATAATGATTGCTCCACCAGGATCCCGCAGATTCTGTTTGGATTTTCGCATTTTTTATTGATACAGGAAATATTTTTGTAAATGGGATTAGGCAGAAGTGTGCTGGGTTTTTAAAATGTAAAATATTCAAAATTTATCAAAGATTTCATTCTATAAATTTACAAAAAATATGTTAAAGAAATTTTTATATATTTTTTATTTTTCTATCTATTTATCTATCTGTTTATTCGTCTTTCTATCTGTTTTTTATTTATTTTTCCAGCTATCTACGTTTTAAAACTCTTGTAAAATATCCCTAATATAGGCTTTAAACTTGTTTATCAAAGGTAGAACACTGAAAAAATTACACTGTAAATACAAGCTTTTACATAAGATTTTTTTTACATTTATCATACCCTTTCCGGGTATTAAAACTTCAGTTAGAAGCCCAAAACTAAGTGAAAAAATCATTTCCGACCCTATAAATCATATATATTCTTGATCAGCATTGAAAAGCGAATCGATCTAGCCATTTTCCAAAGAATATTTATTTTTATCAATTTTTCCAAAATTTGATAAGGGGTTACATCATTAAAATTGTGAAAATTTATAAAAATATTACATTTAAATAAATTTTTTATACAGTATGCAGATTTATTAGCCTTATAAAAACTAAGACAAAACTGTTTACAGAATTGAATTTAAGGCATTTTTGAATGAGTTAAAGATTTTTAAAATTTTGATTTTTAACCAAAAATTAGCAAAACAAAATTTAACAATATTTGTAAATTTTATATCGGGTTGAAACTTTAAAATTATGGAAATTAAAATACAAAATCGGGTTGAAACTTTAAAATTATGGAATTTAAAATACAAAATTTTATTTAAAAAATTTTTAAATATATATAAAAAATAATTTAAATGAAGCAAAAACCTCTCCAAAGATCGATTACCATCGAAATGCGAGGCAAGGTCTCTCTCTCTCGGCTTTTGTTTATGCTCAAATTTTTATAGCACTTCAGTGCTAGGAAATACTAATGGCCTCGGCTCGAGTGTTTACTTCAGAATACATTTCATTCTTTCCGGGCAGCTTCGTCGCCAGAGATCGAGCCTCCTCGAATTTCCCAGAGCGGCCCTTCCCCCCTACCCAAGTAAATATGTCTCAAATTCACCACAAACTCAGTCCAGTCGCCGCATCAGCGAAAACCAAGGCAAAATGTTTATACATGGCTGGGCTATATACTCGTCTATATAGATTCCCTCGATATATATATATGTAGAGCCGGCGGCTTGGATACATTTTTGAGGGAGTTGTGAGCTTCACTTGAGATCGAGCAGGTCAGCGATTTGCAGCTCTTTTATAAGAAATCAAAGTAGGAAATTTAAAAACTAATTAAAAATTGAAAAATAAACTAAAACTAATTAAAAAAGTGAGTGGAAAATAAAAGGAAATATTAAGAAAAATTTTAAGAAGAGAAAACAAAGTGAAAACTAAGTGAAAACCCATAACAAAAAATTGTAAATAAATAATTTAACTTCAAGTGTTTTACAAAATATTAAAAATAATATTTTTTCTTGCAGAAAATATCTAAATAAATACTACAAAACCTAAATATATAATCTCAAAAATCTTGGCCATGGATACCTTCAAGCCTGAACAAAAGACTCCCACAGAGGAGAACGTGGCGGCCGTGGCCGTGGCCAAGGTTGATGGGGTTGAGGCGGGCAGCAGCTCCTCGGATCTGATCACCCACATTGGCATTGCCAACACCCTCGACATTCTGCCCACCTTCGATGGTAACAAGTTCGGGCTCACCCGCTTCATCCGTGAGGTGCAGAACCTGGTGATCAATCACTTCAAGCATGTCCAGAAGACGGAGTGCCCGCCGCATGTCCTCAACGGCATTCGGATGAGGATCAAGGGCAAGGCCGACATGGCTCTCGTTCGGGCTGGGACCAAGCTCAACTGGGAGGACATTAAGCACACGCTGATCATTAACTTTGCCGATCCGCGGCACACGGATACCCTCATGGCGGACCTGGCCACCCTTGCGGGCAAGGGAATGCCCCTGTGCCAGCTGTTTGATGAGATTCTGACCATCAGGTGTGCCCTGATTGGCATCTTGGAGCGCGGCGACGAGGATGCCGACTATGTGACCACCAGGCGTCGGATTGTGGAGGAGATGTGCGTGGATAACTTTGTGGCTGGGCTGTGGGGTGTCCTCAAGTGGCTGGTGAAGCTGCATCAGCCCAAGACCCTCTTCGAGGCCCATCGCCTGGCCAAGGACATCAACACGGATCTCCATTGGGGCAAGATTATGAAGGAGAATCACTACAAGAAGAAGATGAACAGGATCACCAAAAGCCGGGTGGTGCGTCCCAGCAACACCAATCCATATATGCCGTTCAATAATCACAATAATTTTCAATTTTATTAGAAATTTTTACTTAAAATTTAAAGAGGAAGTAAAGAAGGGAGAGAAGATTTTTAAAAAAAGTTTTTAAATATTTGTAGGAAGAGTTTACACAGAAAATATTATTATATTTTATATTCCATAAATAACAGCCAATAATTAAAGGTAAAGACAAGTTCTTCTCCCTATTTATTGGCTAAAAAAAAGAATTAAATCATTTAAGGAAAATATTTCTTATACTTATAATGTATTTTATACTTGAATAAACATTTAAATAATATCTTTAAAAAATAATACAACTTTGAGCTATTAATTTTCTTGCTTTACAGTTACTCCAAATCGTATGTCAATGCATATAAAAAAATATATAAAAAAAAGAATGAAAGAAGGAAGCCCGGAATATCCTTCTCAAGCTGTTTGACAAGCTCCAACAACGACGACGAAGACGACTTGCCCCGGATTTCATTCACTTTTTACACATTTTTAATAAGTTGCCCGGACTTGGAAGCCGCTGGGATCTGGTCAGGCAGAAGGACATGCCCCAAAGGAGACGGCTTCCTTCCGCCGCTGCCGCCGCCGCCATTGACCATCATTCATCATTAAATTGTTTCGCTAACTGTTTTCAGCAATATAATTTTTTCTGTTTTTTTTTTTTTTTTTTGTGTGCTGACAAGCCGCTTCCTGTCGCTCCCGAAATTTGATGAATTTCTTTTTTATTCATTCGGTACGCCCACCCCCGCCCACTTTTGGTCTTATTTCATTTTATTCCCGGCCCGCTTCTTGTGTCTTACAGAATTTTTCTAATCAGTCAGCGTCCACGTCCGCTTGGCATTTTTTTTTTGCTCCCCATGCTCCTGTCTTCGATTTTTCCTTTTACTTATTTTTCCTATTTGTATATATATATATAGTATTTTTTGTTGTTGTTGTCCTGTTGTAGGGCTCCATTGTCATGCGGGCCACTGATTATGACCGACGAAAGGGATGCGGGCAGCCACAGAACTGAAGAGGAGAAGGAGCAGCAGTATTAGTACGAAAAACTTAGGGTTTCTCGATCTTTGCTACTTGAGGGATTGTCCTGGGAATCAAAGGACCTTACATATTTCGAGTTGAGTTTAGTTTGTTAATATTTAAAAAATAATAGGAGTATATCAAAGTAAGAGAAACATTAAATCAGGCAAGGTCCAATGGGAACTTGGGGTATTTCCTGAATTCGTAGGAGCTGCTGAAGGAAATATGTAAATAAAAAATATATAAAAAGAAAATATATGATTAGAGAAAATATAATTAGAAAATCTAAATTATATTTTAGTTACTTGTTACCTGTTTTCCCAACCGCCTGCAAGGGCAATGGTAATCAAAGGCGACAAGTTGATTTATATTTTATTTATTAATCTTAAACCCGTTAGGGCAAGATATAAAATCGGTATTACAAAGATTATTAATTTACACAGCTAAGGCTATGGAGTTACCATTTAAAACTAAACTTAAGGTCTACGGCGGCCGCGGCTTGTAGTCTTCGGAGAGCCGCAGCTCTGCCGCCGCCAAGATGCCTGGTCAGCACTTGGTATCCGACGCATGTCGATCATGCGCTGCCCGGGTGTTCCCCGCACTGCTGGTAAAGTGACGGGTCAGCAACTAGTTGCCGGGCGACGGACTCCGGGCAATTGCCCTCGGAGTGCTTGGTCACCAGGCCTGCAACTCTGCGAATTTGCCTTGTGGGAAATGGGTGTGTTAACTTATATAAATAAAAAATATATAAATAGAAAATCATCAGACTTTCTGCACTTGCTAACTATTGCTAATTTTTATGGTACTTTAACTTCTACGATACCTTATCGTATTTAATATAGTTAAGTACAAGTTAAGTACATGTTAAGTGCATGTTAAGTACATGTAAAGTACATGTTTTAAATTCGAATAGGTATAGTAAAAATTACTCTTAATTATTACTTTATGTACATTTAAAAACATTCTGTTATATTGCACAAATGATAAGCTAACATAATTCTGTTAAATAAAACCTTGCCTTGTTCTCCGAGTCTCTGAATAATCGGAGGAAAAAAACAGATCAATCAGTCGATTGCAGCAAGTGATGCCGAAAACAAGTAAAAATATATGAAAACAATACATATAAATAATATATAAAAATAAAATATATAAATATTATATAAGTAATATATATAAAAAATAAGTATTTAAATAATACAAATTCCTGGCAAGTCGAGAACCCTAAATACCACACCCATGATGATGCCAGTGCCTTGGTTATCCTCACTGATCCTGGCAGTACTCTGCCTTTTGGCTTACCTTCGCTTCTCAGACGCCGAGTGCTGCACCACAATGGCCCACCTGGAGTTCATGATGACCAATGGGAACTGCGGAGTGGTTAATGCCAAGAAAACCGTCCACGGCTGCTCAATTACTGTCTGTGGCGATGGCAGAGCCTTAGTGGGTACCTTCTGTGGACGCGGTCCTTGCAACATCTTTGGTTGCGACTGCCAAGGTGGCTGCCTGCATGGAGACTATGGCCAGAGCTTCCTGGCCAGAAACCAAGACTTCGGCATTACTCTAATGCACACCGAAATCGTGGACTATGCACCAGGAGCTTCGATGTGGTATACGCTTACCAATGGGATTTTCAATAAAATCTTTTGATTTCTATTGGTTTTATTAAGAATTTATGTATTATTTTTAAGGGAAAAAGTAAATAAATGATTTTAATTAAGTACATTTGTATTTGTTTTATATGGAAGTAAAAGGGTTAAGTATGTATATATATATTTTCTTTAGTTTATAAACCAAACTTTGCAATCATAACCTACCCACTGCAAATTGTCAAGTCTCCTTGATTATCTCGTCTATTTTTAGCAATCTTTCTACTATCAAAATGTTTATATAGCACTGAGAAATTATCACCGAATCCACAGATTATTGTTATTACATAAATTACGGCCGTGGAAGATACAAGTCAATGTCTTACAAGTACCTTTCTTATCGTTCGATTGCAAAAAATATACATAGTATATAAACAGCTTGCATTAGTCATTAAAGGTATTATATACAAAGCTGATAATGTACAAATATAGATATTTTCTAAGGTAACACAGCAGTCAGTCGAAGCCCAACTGCAGACCCGGTCAGAAGTGTTTAAGGAAGTGAGACTAAAAGGCCAGAGTAGGTAAAAAACTTGGGCCATTGATTAGTTATAACTTTTCCCTTCAACTGATTCATTGATATCGCAATCGAACTTTGATTATTAACCTAATTTTCCAGAAGTCTTGTACATTTGAAAGCCAGCCATCATGCGAGTGCTATCGCTTTCCTCAATAACCTTGGTAGCACTCTGCCTGCTGGGTTTCCTTCGCTTCTCAGAGGCCGAGTGCTGCACCACAATGGCCAAACTGGAGTTTATGATGAGCAAAGGAAACTGCGGAGCGGTTAATGCCAAGAAGACTGCCCAGGGCTGCTCGGTAACCATCTGTGGCGATGGTAAAGCCTTGGTGGGTACCTACTGCGGACGTGGTCCCTGCAATATCTTTGGTTGCTACTGCGAAGGTGGCTGCCTGCATGGGGACTATGGCCAGAGCTTTCTGGCCAGAAACAAAAAATTCCGCATTACACTGATGCACACCGAAATGGTGGACCTTTCACCAGGAGCTTCGATGTTCCAGACGCTTGCCAGTGTGATTATTAATAAAATCTTTTGATTCCCTATTAAAGGGTTTTTTTTTTCAAAAAATATATCTATCTGCTATTATCTGTAAACCTCGTTGGTAAATCTCCTTATCTATGCCAGTTTCTGTCGCTTTATAAGATGTCCCTAAAAGTTGGTTCGGAAAGTGCCATAAAACACCCGCGAGGATGAACTTTTCGCGCGGAAAGTGCGAGAAAAGTTGGCTTTATGCCGCGGGCATAATCAAGGATCAGTGGGCGAAAACGGACGACAAGGACTGTGTACGTGTCCGCTGAGATGGCAGGACGAAGGACGAGGGACGAAGGACGAACTGGGGGAAATGGTAGAAGAAAGAAATGATAATAATGCCGGGGTCAAAACAATATAAATGCAAATGCAGCGACGCTGGCAGCGCAGTCGCCGCCTCCAACACCTCCTCCTCTACTTTTTTATAGTCCTGCAACGCATTTTAATCAGTTGGCAGTGGGAATCCTGCGACTCCTGGACTACAGACTCCCAGACTCGCGACTCCCAGACTCCCAGACTCCCAGACTCCGATTCCGATTCCGACCACGGTTCCGGCTGCAGATCCCCCTCCCCCTGCCCTGGGAGCACTGTGTCCTGCATGCCAAGCGTGTGACGTCAGCGGGGGACAGTTTACGAGGCGAAAGTTTACACCCGCGGCCTGCAGGGGGCGTGGCAGCAGGCCAAACACTTGAAGAAAATATCTAGGCTTATGGATTTTAAGAAGAATATTTATATTTCCAACGGAATTTTTGGGCTACAAAATTATATAGAATTATTTAGAAGTTAAAAAATATCTTAAATATTAAAATATATGTATATTTAAATAATATTTATAATTAATAATTCTTAATACGAATTATTTCTTAAATATATTTTAAAATATTTATTAAATATTTTCGAAATAAATGAAACCCTTAATCTTTTTTCTGCAGTGCTTTTCCCACTGCACAACGTGTCCTGCTCCTCCTCCTCCTCCTCCTCACCTGTTGCCTCGCATAAATCATAGCCCCCATCGAGGGGGCGTGGCATGCCCCGGGAGGCGCCTTATGCGACATCAAATGGAATTGATTGCGAATATCCCAAGATTGCAGCCAGCTTAAAAGAGGATTCTCCTGGCGTTTCATTTTTTTCGTTTTGTAAACCGTAAATCAATCGCCCGTCCAGGATAATTCCCAGTGAGGCGATTAGCCCAACTGCAGTTAATCGAAGCAATCGATATATGCAAGCGGATATATCGCTAGTTATCGCGTGAAAAGCGCCGCACAATTCGATTTTCGCATTAACTAATTAAGGCAGCTGCCAGGCCAGATGTTGCTGCATTTTCCTTTTGGCCTCGAGGAGCTAACACTCGCATACATGTATTACCAATTTTCCGCCTTGGCTTTGTCGTTGCTTTGAGTTTTCCTTCCTTCCAAGAAGAAAATTTGCATTTCCATTTGCCTGGCAGCCACGCAAGTTGCAGCTGCACAGCCCATCTCTCCTACTCGATGGGGGAAATTTTAATGAATTGCCGAAAATCGCACAAATGCAAAACGAAAATTCAATTTGCAGATATAACAAAACAGGATTGGCGAAAGGCCTAAAATGGAGTTAAGAATAAAGGTAATACCCTGGGGGAAATATAGTAGGTCTCTTAATAAGCTTTAAATACTTGTTGTATAAGGAAATAATATTTATACATTGAATTTTAGCTTGAAATTCCTGAAAATTTATAGTTTTTTGAACTGATAATATTATTAAAATTAATATTAATATTATTTATATTATGATTTAGCAACAAAATCCCTCTATAAATTCAAGTAATTAAGTAGTAAATCTTATAATTCAAATTCTAATAAACTTTAGAGACATCTTTGGCCTAAATAAACTCCCATTTTTTTACGTAATACCTAACCCAAATATTACGTAACCCAAAATTACTGGGTAACTGGAGAAACTGGTAGTAACAATAAATAAATTGCAGCACATTTGCGGACGCCTTTGCAACTCTTGCCAGCAAATGGCCGTTGATTGAATTTATGTGTGTCAGAAGGGGGGCTAGTTGCTGTGTGTGTATGTGTGGGGGCGTGGCACACAAAGATACACAAAAGACTCTTACATGCTTCATTATTTCTGTGGCTAAATTAAAGGATAATAGATTTATATGCTTGCCTGGGCCCAAGCTCAAATCCATAAGATACATACAGCCGACTAGCCGAGTATCTGGCAGATGCAGATGCACACACACACACACAGCCAGCAGAAACTTGGCTTTAAGATGGCTAAAGTATAATAATAATAACAAGCCAAGGATAAAGGCCCAGAAGCATCTCAATTCTGCGTGTTGCTGTTACTGCCAAGGAATTTTAAATGAAAAATATTTGAAATATCAAAAATGTTTATGTTGATTTTTACCACCCACTCTCCACCCCACTCTATCCATCCGGGGGACTTCTCCTTCGACAAGGAAATTGGAAGCTGAAGTATGAAGGTCTGTATGTTCTTCATCGATGGGAAACCTTGTCCTGAGCTGGGTGGATACTATTTCCTAGTTTTGTTTGACCAATTTAAAATAATATTCCAAGAAGAAACTATTTTTTTTTTTTTTGTTATTAATATTTAACTTAACAAATCTAAACATATTGTTTAAATGTAATTAAATATCACAAATTACAGATACATCAGCTTAAGGCAAAAAACTGAAATTTATATCTATTTTTTCTACATTTTTATTTAAATATTTCCAAAAAGCCACAGGACGTGACAAAAGCACACAGGATAAAAGGTGATAATGTGACTGGAATTGAACTTTTACCTGGGCCAAGTTAAGATACAGTGGCCTAAGTATTTTTTATAAATTTTAGACTTGCTTAATTTCATATTTTAAGTTTAAATAAATGATATATTATACATAAATAAATATATAAAAATAAACAAATAATGGTAATACAATAAAATATATTCACAAAATATTTTTAGATATTTTTACAATTTTTAAATAAAGTTTAAATATCTTATAGAATTAAAATGTTGCATAGTAAATTCTAAAAATAATTAAATAATCATTAAACTATTTTTAAATAAATTTGAAATAACTGATAAATTAAAAATGGAAAATCTTAAGTTCATAATTTATGTATACAATTTTTAAATAATTTTTAAATATCTGAAAAATGTAAAATATTAAATAATAAATAAAAAATGAATAAAAAAATATACTTACAATTTTTAAATAAATTTTTAATACCTGATGAATTCAAAATGGAAATTCTTAAGTATATATTTTATTTCTAAAATTTTTTAAATACCTAATAATACATTTATTTCTTTAATAAATAATTAATAAATAAAAAATTAAATAAACAATTTTTCAATAAATTTAAAATACCTGCTAAATTAATAAAGGAAAATATTAAGTTCCTTTTTTTTTAATTTTTAAATACCCTAATACATATAAAATATTTAATAATAAATAATAAAACAATAAAAAAATAAATAAAAAAATTTAAAATAAATTTTAAATTCCGTATTAAATAATAATGGAAAATTAAATTTTGTTATATATTCAACACAAAATAGATACTTTCTTTGGTATCCCCAAGATTGATTGGAGTTGTGCTGTGACTTTGATATACATTGCCATATCCTAGCTGCTTTTCTGCATACTTTTGCCCACTTATTCGAGCATTACAAAAACCGCACTACATTTAACCACAATTTGGCCGCAACTTCAGAGTTCAGAGAGTCCAGAGTCCGGCGGAGGAGTCCATCCCTTCCCTTCCCTTCCCCTTCCAAATTCATTTCGGCTCGCATTTAATTTTTGCTAATTTCTACTGTTGTTGCTGCCTTCGCCTGCCTTTCGGTCGTTAGGCAAATGATTAAGTAATTGCTGCGGCTCAAAACGTGTGGCGTTGCCCCCTTTTTCCTGGGGACAGGGTCGCCGGGTCATGACCATCAGTGGCTCATTAGCCGAAAACAGAAAAAAGGCCGCTCGAAACTCCAAGTTCCAAATGAGCAAGGGAATTACACGGAATGAAGAGTGGCAAATTAAGTGGCAGAGGATGAGGAGTTGGAGGAGGTGGTGCAACTTTAAACTGAAGGAAAAGCACAGCCGGGAAAATGTTGAGAGCCAGCGGACGCGCTTTTATTGCATAAATTAACTTGGCCAAACACAATTTTGCAATTATTCTGCAATTAATAATTAATGTGGCCGCTGCCCCGAGAACCGCAGGCTGTTCTCTGGACCCCCCCACCTCACTTTAAGCGTGCTTTAAGTGGCAGGAAAGCCCTTCTCTCCTACCCCTCTTGGAAAATTTTGCACTCAACATCCTGCGGTCGAGTTGTCATCGTGGCGGATCTCCTCGGCTCCTTGTTGCTGTCTGTCACTTCATTACTGTCACATGATAACTGGAAATTGTTGAGCCCTGCCCTTGGCTTTAAGTGGCTTTCACCTTGACGGCCCCACAGAGCCCCTCCCCCTTGGGTGGCTACATAAAAAGGCCACAAGGGAACTCATTACGGCAAAGTCCGGCTAACAAGTCACATCTCAATGTGGGAGTGTGTCCTTTAGCAGGACGTTTTATGAGTGCCGCTCTCGGTAGCCATTGTATTTGGACATGTGTGTGTGTGAGAGGGGGGGTTTGAGGGGGAAAGTATCGACTAGGTGAATTCCCTGTATATGTTTTTAGGTGTTTTAGGAATTTTAAAAAATATTATTAAGGCTTATAAATTGAGTTAAATGTTATTATTTTGTTAAAATATAATAATATAGTATAAAATAAAATAATTTAATTTAATATAATAATAATTTAATATATAAAATAATGTAATGTAATTAATAAACATATTTATTGTCATTTGAAATCTCACTTGAAAAGGTGTCTTGTGTATCTGAGACTTTTCGCACATTAGTAAGCAAGCTTAATGTTTGGTTTTTCGATTTTTTAAACCTTTAATTAGCATATTTTATTTGTGTTTACTATTTCCTAATTCAATTAGCAACAAAGAAGCTCTTGAGAGGTGTTATAACCTACTCTACCTGAAACATTTTTAAATACCAAAATAATATATATCTCACTTGAAATTCTCACAAATTCGTGCATACCCTTTATTCTAAAAAAATTCCAGGGTATTCTGAGAATCGCTTCCGCATCTCGCAGACACATTCTGCACATTATTGGAAATCGTGCGCTTCGTTAGCGGCAAATCTGTTGCAAAGTAGCCCCAGACAACAGGCACCTCCTCCTCCTCCTCCTTCGCCGCCGCCCTTGCTGCGATTTTTCCGATATTGACCAGGGAAAGCCTATTTGCCACCCCGACTTGCTGTGACAGTTCTCTCTCTCTCTCTTTCTTTCTCCGGAATCTAAGACGCTTTCTGGCTGGCCTTCAGAATTTTCCCAAAAGAGGAATTTTTACCATCAAACCCATACCCCTCCCTCTCCTGCCTTTGGCTTTGTGCTGCTGCCTCAAAGCTTATCATTTATTGCTGCTGATTGCTTTGGCCGTCCAGCCACCCCCAAGGACACCACCCTCTCTCTCTGCTTGGGTTGGGGTTTTTGCATATGCATATTGCGTGGCAAACGAAATGAAACGAATAAAGAAATTTAATTTAATTTCCAACTTTGAGATATATGTATGTATGTACATATACCCATCTTCTCGCCCAGCCTCCCCCCGCCTCTGGTTGAAGTGGAAATCGAAACGCATTTGTCAGCATTTCGCATTTAAACTTTTCGCCTTAAAGCGCAATTTTCAAACATTTTGCGGCGGATTAAACGGTTGAAAGGAGCCCCAAGAACTCGATTTAACATTTACATATGTTTATAATTTCGCACATTGAAGGATAAGAGGGCGCAGGACATCTGTTTTGGGGGTTTAGGAGTTGTACTCTGTCGAGGGGGAGGGAGTCTTTTTCTTTCCCTGGTGCTTTTCTTGCTCTTAAACTTATTTTTAACTTAAGGGTTAATGCTATATTATTAATAAAAGTAAATTACTTAAATTAAAATAAAATTAAATTAAAATAGCTCAAAGTAAATTACTTAAATTTAATAAATTAAATAATACAAAATTATTTAAAAATTATATTACTCAAATTTTAGTATAAAAATAATTGTTATTTATTTTCCAAGATTTAATAAACCAATTTCAAGGGCTCTTAGGCTGTCTTCAATGGGAAAATTAAAGGCTTATTTTATAAATTTATTTAAAAATCATTAGCCTAAGGTTAAATTTTCTAAATAACTCTTAAAAAAGGAGCCTAAAAGCTTCAATAAACCTTTGAAAAGGTCTTAGGCTGTGGAAAATGTGTTGAAAAAATATTTAAAATTACGGTTACCATGGGAAATTGTTAATATTTATATTTATTATATATTTATTAATATTTATATTCATTATATATTTATTTTATATTTATTATACATTTATATTTATTTATATTTAAGTTTTAGTACTTAAACATTGCTCCTAATTCTCGCTAAGATTCCCCAGTGCCAAAGTCCTTCAGCAAATATCTTTTCTATATTTAAAATTCCCCAGCAGAAAGTCGTAAAGTCTGTTCCCAATCAAAGTCGGCCTGTTTATACAGATATTTCCTTAAAGCCTAGTTGACTCTGAACGGATTGTCACTGGAATTTGTAGACCTTAACGTAGACCCAATACTCACTTTCACTTTCAGTTCGAAGCTCGATCGGTTCGTTTCTAAAGTTAAAGTGTTGCCTGGAAAGTAAGGAAAACACGGAGATATAGCCGCTGTGATTTGGTGAGTGAAAAGCCCAAGATTTTCCACCCAGCCCACCCCTTGGCTTGAAATTGTTGGCGATTTTTATCATTTTAAATGGAGGGAACAACAAGGATGAAGAAAAACTGGTAGGAAAAGCCTGGGGGGAGGGGCGAGCATTTAATGCCCATTTTTGTAGCCTTTTGTTGTTGCTGCGATCTTGAATACGGATTTGCATTATAATTTATTGCAGCATAGCCTGCATACGCTGTGTTCCCAGCTTTTCCACCCAGTTTTTTTCCATTTTTCCAGTCACTCTGCTTCTTGGCTAATTTCGATGCCGTCTCAGCGATAAGGTAACAGCAGCAGCAGCAGCAGCCTTTCTTTAAATGAGTTTTCCTTTAGCGAATCCTTTTGCCTAAGCCTTGTTCCTTGTATTAATTTCCCAGCTTAACTGGGAGATTTCCCTTTCCTCATACACATGTGGCTTCATTTTCCACAACAACAACAACAAAACGGTTAGCTTGGCTTAAACTGTCTCATATTTTTATTAGAGTCAACGGACACGTAGCTTATTAGCAGCCAAAAAAAAACAAACTTTCATCAGGTTTTTGGCTCCGGAAAAAACGTTCCAAGCCCGTAAAGTAGAGTTTTCAATGGCAAGACCAAAGCCAGAAGGGCAATGGGAATAAGTGTATGGCTTAAATGTTAATAGCCCTGTTGGTGTTCCCATGAACCAAAATCATTTTGCTGGCAAATATTCCATAAGCCTTTACTCCCAAAAATATAATATAAAGCTGGTTTTTTGGGAAATACAAAAGGAAAGAGGTACTGGAAAAAGGTATAGTTTTCCTTCTAAAAAGAAGCCTTAAACTTGGTTGTATTTAAACATAAATTGTTCCTTAACAATTTCCAGTTATTTAAAGTTGTTTTAAAATTGATTTTAACTTAATTTCAACTTTGAACTCCAACTTTAAACTGAAAACTCCCAGAGACTCCCAGGTGTGTGGGCCTCTGGTTAGTGTATCGGTTTCGTTATCCATTCCAATTTATAATTTGAATTTTTGGCCTGCAATTAAATACTCACCTGGCCGTCCATAACTCTGCGGTTGATTTTGGCAACCGGGAAATTGTTTAATTATTTAGTAATCCGATGCTTAAAGGCCCAAACGAAGCACTGGCCAAATGCTAATGATGGCCCCGTATCCTAGCGACCTGTCATAATCTGGCCAAAAAATGTTGATGCCGCCATTAAATCAAGAGTCTGGGATGCCAACGCAGGACCTTTGCGGATAAAGTGTCAATAAATGTGGCCAAGCAGGAGCTAGAGGAGGAGCTGGAGTAGCCAGCTGGTGTCCTTAGCCTGGGCAAACAATAAAATATTCAAAGTTTATAATGTAAATTAACCCAAAGTTGCCTGATGTCCTGTCGCTTGGCCTCATGAATACACAATACACATGTCCCTAGCCCCCCCATGACCCGTTACCCGTCTCATATTTCTCCAGGACCTAGTCCTTTTAGCCTCGTCCTGGCTAATCAAATTTTATTGGCCGGCTGAGTGGTTGCCCGGGGGCCCAAGGAGGAGTGATGGGTTAAGTGCAACGAGAAAATGGAACAGGTTTAAGATATTGAAGGAGGACTAGACAACTAACTGGGGTTACATTTTATATATAATTTTTAGTTGAGAATTTAGAAATGAATTCTTGGTTTAAGTCACATCTCTTGTGAAACTTTTTTGGCCTGTAAATTGACCTTTGATTGCTGAAGGAGCGCTCTCCCTCTGCCTCTGTCTCTGTCTCCTCGAATGCCTAACTAGCCGCTTATTCATCAAAGCCCCGAAAGCTTAGGGACGGGGAATGATGGATGCCCCCAACAAATCGGATGAGATGAGAGCAAGTGGAGGAGGAGAAGGAAGACGACGAGTAGCAGTAGCAGCAGGAGTAGCAGGAGGAGAAGCAGGAGGAGGAGGAGTAGCAGAAGGAGGAGCAAGAAGCAAGAGCAGAAGCAAGAGCAGAAGCAGCAGCAGCAGTCCGCTAGTGGTCACAAGTGTTGTTGGGACATAAACATCTCCAGGCCCACATGAAATGTCATCTTTCATTAGATTAACGATTGTTCCAGGCAGCCGGAGGAAGTGGGGCTCCTCTGGCTATGGCCAGACCAGTGGCAAACCTCTCTCTCGCTCTCTCTCTCTCTGCCCAAAATCAAATCTTCAACAATCTGTTTTGTCAAATGCCTTGGCACACAGGCTACACAGGGAGAAATAGTGGGGTAGGTGGGGGTGGTGGGGTTCATTCGCAAAAAAGTGTCAAATGCGTGAAGGGAAGAGGGAAAACTAGGCCTAGGGCCTCGGAATTCAGGATTCAGGATTCAGGACGACTGTCAACTTGAGCCTGACAAAGTATTTGCGGCTTGCCAGTCATTTTTTGTGTGTGTGTGGGGGGAGAAGGGGGTGTAGAGGGGGGTGTAGAGGGGGTGTAGATGGGGATGTAGAAGAGGAGTGAGTAAAGGGAGGTTGTATGGTGTGTGCTTGTACTGAGAGAAAAAAGTAAAGGCTGAAAAATATATTTTTCCTTGTAAGTCTTACCCTCCCAAACTCTAGGTTTTACCCCAAAATATCCCTCACTTCATGACTTTTCTGCCAGTGTATTTGTTAAATGCCCCACAAAGACAAAGCCAAGGGGTCCCGGGACTAGGACAGACTCCCTGGTCAGCAGAAATAAAGGCAAAATAAGGCCTGAACCAAATGCAAATTAATATGTGGCGCCTCAACCACTTTCTCCTCCCCCTCCTCCCTCCCACTGACCACCCTTCTCCCCTCTCTCTCTCTCTTCCAGACCAGACCATGTCCCAGGAAATAGCTGTGATCGCTTCAGGGCCACCGATGACCACCGAAGCTCCCTTAGACTTTGCTGGCGGCCCCTCAACCTCAACCCACTCCAGTAGTGATGTTGGTGATGGTGCCGCCTCCTCCTCATCCGTGGCCATCATCGAGCGGGAGTACGTGATCCAGCCAAACACAATCATCGAACTGGTGGACCTCTATGTGCCGCCCGTGCGCACCGAGTTCCGCATCCCAACCTTCCAGCCACCGGCAGAGGTGCCGGCCTTGAACCGCGACGGCGCCGCCGCCCAAGGGATTCGAGGTCGCCGGCGGGGCAGGCCTCCGCTAGGGAGCAGGCCCAGTGGTGTTTCCGTCCGGAAACCCTATAAGCGCCGAAGCAGGCAGGAGTCGCCGCCGCCACTGCCGCCAGTGCCCAACTATCTGTCGCATGTGATCAATCCGCTGGAGAACGAGATCTATCCCAAGGTGATTGTGCAGCCTGCCTGCCAGCCCTATGTGATGCCCAAGAATCTAAGCAAGAATCCACCGGCAGCTCCTTTAGCTCCTTCAGTTCCTTTAACTCCCTTAGCTCCTCCCATCAAGCCCCAGCTTAGGGACACCGCCAAGGAGGCCGCCCAGCTGCGCGCAAACCTGAAACTCTTTGGACCGAATGTGACCATCAGTCAGGTGACCTGTCACGGCCAGACGCGCTTTCTGGCCATCCAGAAGAAGCCCAATGGCGAGCAGCGCAAGATTCTCTTCAGTGCCGGCCAACTGCAGGCCTTTGTGGCCAGCTGCAGGGCAACCCTGATGTTTAATCGTGGTGGTGGCGTTTCCTGGCCAAAGCTGTTGCCACCCAGCGTGACTCGTCTCCGACCAGGGCCAGCACCCCGGCGTTTGATCGAGCCGCCGGTACCGCAGCCGCCAATGCCGCCGCCGCCGCCGCCGGTGCAGCCGCCAAGGGTCATTGTGGAGCCACCGCCCAATTTTCGGCTGCCCACCATGGCGGCTCTGCGGGCAGCCGCCCTAAATGCACGTCAAGCGGGAGGAGCCGGAGGAGGAGGAGGTGGTACAGCGGCAGGTCCTTTGTCACTGGGCGAACGTGTGGGCTTTGAAGTGGGCGTAGAAGTGGGAGTGGGCGGAAAGCCGGTGGTACGTCCCACGCAACTTGTGGTAAAGGTTCCAGCAGATGTTTGGGTGAAGCCCAAGGTTGAGCAAAAGAAACCAGCAGCTGTCAGGGAGGCGGCAGTGGTTGCAGCTCCAGCTTCAGCTCCAGCACGGGCACCAGCATCATCCACATCGACTCTGGCACAGGCTTTGCCTTCTGTCCAGGCTTTACCTCCTCGCGAGACTTTGCCTTCACTGCAGACTTCGAATCCTTTCCAGACTTTGCCTCCTGCCAAGGCAATGCCACCGTCACTGCCTCGTCCAACTCCTCTAGAATTGTCCCGCTCGAGGGTGCCCTCGATCCTCACCCGCAAGTCCCAGCTGCGTCTGCTCAACCAGAGGGCCAAGAGAGCAGCCGAAAGGGAGGTGGAAGAAGCCAAGAAGCTCCGCCAGGATCACAAGGAGAATTATCTTTTGAACATTTTAAAACACAAAATCCAAAAGCCATATTTACACTCCACTTGAAGTTATTTCGATTTAAAAACATTTTAAACACACTTTAGATCTTAAATATTTTATTGCTTACACATTAAGAACTTAATGATTTATGTTATATTAAACAAAAAAAATAAAACAAAAAACATAAATTAAAGCTGAATTGTTCTTTCTTTTTTTGGGGAAACCTCAACTAAGTCGAGCTTAAAGACAAGCTGGAATAGTTAAGACTTTCCCAAGGCCACACTTGGACTACACTGCTGCTTCCTCCAAGTCGTAGCCTTAATCCTTGGCCACCAGACCCTTGGCCTGCGGCATGGCCACTGGCAGGGAGCGATCCACATAGGCAAAGTTGTCCACCACGCTGATGGAGAGCACGCCGCCCATGACTAGCAGGGCTCCGCTGATGGCAACCTTCGACCACATGGTGATTCAAAGAGGGGAAAGGAACTACGGGAACTGCAGGAATACTTCTGGTGGAGATGCGAACCGAACGCGGAAAGAGCTGCTTGGACTATGCGCGGAACGCACGCCCAGCATGGGGCCTTATATAGTACTTGTATTCCGATCCCAGAGAACCCGCGGGAAGCTTTTCGCCGGCCTATGTGCCGCCGGTCACGTCGGCCAGAAATCGCCTCCAGGTTCCATGGCAGAAAAGCTTCCAGAACCCGCACAACCACTACCACTAAGCCCAGGCAATGCACTTCCTTCGCCGCCACCGCCACTCGCCGTTATTATCGACTCATTAGATAAGAGTGATTCGCACATTGATGGCGAAAAGCTCAGGGGTACACAGGGAGAAAAAACTAGGGGAGTATCTATGTAATTCTAGAAATAAAAGGGAGTAACTTGGATTAAAGAGTGAGCTTATCTAAATTTATATATTTTAATAACAAGGAAAATTTCGATGTTTTCTCTTAACTAAATTGCTTTAAAATAAGTTTAAATTAAATTATTACTTAAATTTTATTAATAATAATTTAAAAGTATTATTTATAATTTTGTTATTATTATTTATAATATTATTACTAGACTTTAAAGACCTAAAAAAAGCAGCCCAAGGCAAGCTAACTATTCTAAAATCTAAACCAAAATCTTTTTAAAATCCATATAAAATCTATAAATATATCTAATATCATAACAAATACGCTCTAATTTCTTCCAGTGCATATTATAAGCACATGTCTGTGCAAATCGGATATTTTTATACATATTTTCGCAATGTTTTGTTTGTTTACCCGCCGCCGCCTCTGTTTATTAGCCGCGTTTATCAAGAACGCCTAATCTCCGGGTGCGTCACTATCCCAACAACCACATTTGTTGGCAAACATTTGATCGCCACTGTCGACAGATTTCCCTTTCTCATATTTGGCTGGGAAATTTACAGTATCTGGAGGAGGAGGGGGAGCAGCAGCTGGGCTGTAATAATTAGGAATTTTTATCGCTGGTAAATATGTACAAAAAAATAAAACATAAATATAAACAAACTAAAGTACACAAGCGATTAGGCAGCCGGCAAAGCTTTTTCCGAAGATTTACAAGCTACGTTTCTACGTTTTTTTTTTACGAGCAGACTTTCCTCAATAAAAAGCGAGATGTGATGTCACCTGTCGGAGGTGTTTAATTGTTGATTTGCAAATATTGCAGGGTAAGGTGAGTGGGTGCAGGGGATTATTATTAATTAAATTATACAATTGAATGGGTTTTTATCTCCTTTAAGTATATTTTTCACATTTTTCCAGGGTATTCTAATTTCAGTCAGAAGCCCAAAACTCTGTGAAGGAGTCATTTCCCACCCTATAAATCATATATATTCTTGATCAGCATTAAAAAACGAATCGATCTAGCCTTGTCAGAAGGAAATACAAATTTTACTAATTTTTGAGAAATTTCATAAGGGGTTACATCATTAAAATTGTCGAAAAATTGGCTAAAATTTTAATTTTTTAAAATGTTAAATTGAAAATGCAGATTTGTTACGGTAATAAAAACTAATATAACAACGCTTTCCGAATGGAAATTGAAACTTTTTTGACTGAGTTATGAATTTTTGAAACTTCAATTTCTAGACAAAAATTTAAAAATATTAAAAAAAAAAAATTTATAAGAAGTTACAACGTTAAAGGATTTTTCTACATTTTATAATCAATAAAATGTTCAAAATTTAAATAAAAAACTGTATTAAGTCAAAGGTTCGTAAAGCCAAAACTCGTAAACTATTCCATTTGTTTATTTAAAAAAATACAAAAAACTCCATAGAATTTCTATATATTTTCTATATATATATTTGTTATTTCCCATTATAATTCCTACTTCGATTGGCACTCAACCGAGCAGATAATTCAGCTAATGGCTTGATAACTCAACTGAATGTGCTAATTTTTTGGCCGCCCTCCTCCTGGCCCTCTTCAATATTTTTGCTCTGAAAAAACAGGGGAAAGAGAAGGGGATCCAAGCTTTTAATCGCTGCAACAACAACAACAACAACAACAACTAATAAACTATGTTTATATATAGCCTCACAGATAGCAGCAACAAATTGCTAGAGGAAACTCTTCCCGCTTGCTATTTACGCGCAAAATTAATCGAAGCTCATAAAGCAGCGTAAACAAAGACACCCCACGGATCGGGGAGCTATATGGTATATGGATATACATATATATGTATAGGGTATATATACTATATAGAAGGGGGTGTGAAAATCGGTTGGCAAGTGGGTGGTAAGTGGAAGCTCGCAGCGACATCGTCGCATGCAGATAAACAGACATTAATAATAGAAATATTTGGCCATACACAAACACAAACACACAACACGCGGATGGAATGTGCAGACAGAGGGCGTGGCAAACCGCACCCACCGCCCCCCCGTAACGGATTTCAGCCCACTTGAGCCACCCAACAGAAGGGCAGACAGATTGCCATCATTTGTATTCCAGGAGCCTCGCAGGACAAGCCAAAGGAAAGGGGACTAATGCCAACGGGATGTTAATATTATTTAGTGAATTTATATTCATAAATTTAATATTTATTTTATTTATTAGAAAATATTTTAAAGGGAATTATAAGTTTATAATCTATGGGTATGCAATGATATTCCATTTTAGTTGCATAAATTTATTTTTATTATAAATTTATTATATATCATATTTTTTAATAAATAAAATAAATTATAAATAAAATAAATTATAAATAAATAAAAATAAATGATACTAAATATTTATAAAAGGTTTTTTAAAAAGCGGCAGAGTTTCAAAGAATTTAAAATTAAGTTTCATTCGAAAGAATTTATTTTAAAGCAAGTTTAATAATTTCAAAAATAAAGGAGCTATTTAAAAAACTAATAAATTTGTTTACTTTAAGTTTAATTTAAATGTTAAGTTAATTTTTTATATTTTGTATGTGTTTTTAAAGCCTTACTGGTATGCCTGTTGATCTTCTTTAAAGCTTAAGGCCTTCCTTTAGAGATAAACATACACAAAAAGACTTCTTAAACTTATAACTAATTTATAAAAAATTAATTATATATTTAGCTAAATATTTTAACCAAATACTATTTTTAAATTTAATGCAATTTATTTAAAAAAAATCAGCTTAGTAAGTAAATAAGATACCCAATTCAAGTCAAACTAAAAAATTAATGTTTAAAGGTAATCCAAAGTTAATCTTATATTTTTTGCACATACTAAAAGTATTTCTATCGCTAAAATTTGTTGCAAATTCTGATAAGATTAGGCATATCAAGGTTGCAAAATTGCAAACACATTTTTGAAGTACTTAAACAAGCCAACGCGATAAGCAGCTTTGGGCTTTACGTGTTTGCTCAATTTTTTCATATTTTTCAAAGAAATCAAAGTATTACTAATAATATTTTAAAAAGTATTTGCTTGGGAAAATATATATAGAACCATATTGGAGGGCTTTTCGCCAAAGCAAATGTTTATTTTCGGAGGCCAAGTCAGCGCTCTCGCAAGTTGGGTTATCAGTGGCTTTTATGCAGAGACCCTTAAACTTTCTCCTCGAGTGACTGGCGACAGCCAACTCAATCGACTTCCGGTTGTGCCAAGACATTTGCGCTGCTTTTCCACTTTTCCGCTTTTCCGCAGAGCCTAAACCGTAACCAAAACCGAGACCAACGCCGTGTATTTGCTTCGCTTGCTCGCTTGCATTTCCTTCCGGCGACTGGCCCTCATATGGAAAAGTCGGTTGGAAAATGGTTGGAAATTCGAGTAGAATTCGGGGCAGGGGTATGGGGGGGGCAACCTCAAGTAAACAGGCAGCAGGCTAAGCCATAGCCTAACCCAACAACACGCTCAGCCACTCGTCCAAACACCATTTTCTTTTCCACAAATTGAATTCTCGCGCGCGCATTTTCATTTGCAACACACTCGCTGCGAGTGTGTGTGTGTGTGTGCATTTGTTTGTTAATTTTCGCACAGGAAAATTGCATCAGTTTCCACAGTTTTCCAGGTTTTTTTTTTTTTATTTTCTTTTTTGCCTCCTGGCCGCAACAGGAGAAATGCTCGGCAACAACTTTCCACGTGTGGCTGCGGAGACTGCAGCTGAAAGGGGGCGGAAAAGCGGGCATGGCTGTGGGTAAAATCCAACAGATCGATAGACAATCAACTAATGATTGCGTGCGAAAAGTTTGCCAGGTCTGTGTGCCGTTTATAGTTGTTAATACTTAATTCATAGAGACCTTTCCCCAAGGTGGCCAGCCAGCCCATTGAAGCTCTTCGATTCGTTAACCCAGATTTTTGACAGCTCGCTGGATATGAGTGGGTATCTGGGTATGTTTCATATTTTTCAATATTTTTAAATATTTTAAAATATTTTTTTATATGTTTTTATACCCTTGCAGGGTATTATAATTTCAGTCAGAAGTTTGCAACGCAGTGAAGGAGACGTTTCCGACCCTATAAAGTATATATATTCTTGATCAGCATCAACAGCCGAGTCGATCTAGCCATGTCCGTCTGTCCGTCTGTCCGTCTGTCCGTCTGTCCGTCTGTCCGTTTCTACGCAAACTAGTCCCTCAGTTTTAAAGCTATCTCAATGAAACTTTGCATATAGTCTTCTATATGCTCTCACTGCTATATATGTCGGAACGGGCCGGATCGGACGACTATATCATATAGCTGCCATACAAATGTTCGATATATTTTTAGAAAAATAATTATAACTTTGCTGTTTTTTAACATTTATGCACCATTTTTTAGATATGGCCATTTTATATTATTTCGAAATTTTGGTAAAAATTTTATGAAAATCGGACGACTATATCATATAGCTGCCATAGGAACGATCGGGAAATTAATAGAAAAAAAATTATAGATTCGTTGTTTTTCAACGTATTTTCATCTACTCCGGGATATAAGCTTATTTTATTATTCTAGAATTTTGGGATAAATTTAAAAAAAATCGGACAACTATATCATATAGCTGCCATATAAACGGTCGGTAGATGTAGGGAAAATGTAAAGCTGGAAATGCAAAACTGTAACTGTCAAACTGTAAACATAATAAGTA